CCGGGTATGCAAGAACGACATGGGGGGCTCGCAGCGGGTGCTGGAGAAGCAGTGGACCTCCTTCCTCAAGGCCCGGCTCAACTGCTCTGTGCCGGGTGACTCGCACTTCTACTTCAATGTCATCCAAGCCGTGACGGACATCCTGGAGCTGGACGGGCGCCCCGTGGTGCTCGCTGTCTTCTCCACGCCTGCCAACAGGTCGAACCCTTTTGTGCCCTGCAGAGACCCCCGGGGCTGGGCTGGGACCCCTCTGTGTGCCCAGTGCCCATGGGGGCCATGGGGGATGGGTTGAGGTGTTCACCCTGTGCCCACGTCCCCCCCAGCATCCCCGGCTCGGCCGTCTGCGCCTTCGACATGACCCAAGTGGCCGCCGTCTTCGAGGGACGTTTTCGGGAGCAGAAGTCACCCGAATCCATCTGGACACCTGTGCCCGAGGACATGGTGCCAAAGCCCCGGTGGGTGACAATGCCACGGGGACAGGGATGGGGACATCTGGGCTGGGACCAACAGGAAGGGTCATGAGGATGGAGGTGGGGACAGGGACAGCCAGGGGTCTCTGCAGGGAGGGCAATGGGAGCACGCACGGGGACAGGGATGACCAGGGCTGGTACCCGGTGGTGGAGATGGGGACAGGGACTGGGACAGGGACGGTTGGCAAGGGCTGGTACTGGCAGGGACAGTGATGGGGATGGGGACAGTGACAGGGATGGAGACAGGGACAGTCAGGGATGACAGCAGCAGGAAGGGTAGGGGGGACGGGGACAGGAACAGTGACAGCCAGGGCCAATACCAGCTGGGCTGGGGACAGCCAGGCTGATACCCACAGGAAGGGGCATGGAGATTGGGATGGGGACAGGGCTGGGGACGGGGACAGTCAGGACTGATACCAGCAGGAAGGGCAGAGGGGATGGGGACAGGGCTGGGGACAGCCAGGGCCAGTACCAGCAGGGCTGGGGACAAGGCCAGCGTGGCCGTGGGGACACTGAGCCATGCCACGGCCACAGGCCTGGGTGCTGCGCGTCCCCGGGGATGCGCTACAACTCCTCCAGCACCTTCCCCGACGAGATCCTCAACTTCGTCAAGACGCACCCGCTGATGGACGAGGCGGTGCCGTCCCTGGGCAACGCGCCCTGGATCCTCCGCACCATGAGCCGGTGAGTGCCCCAGGCCAGGATCAGGCCCAGGGAGGGGTGGGGGGTGCTGGTGAGAGCTGGTGGGTGCTGGCCAGACCCTCTCACGCCGTCCTTGCGCGTGTGTGCCAGCATCGGGAGAGCGCCAGGAGACCTGATAAATCTCATAAACTTTGCAGTCGAGATCGTCTCGTCCTAATTAAATCTGCCTTAATTGCTGCTTGATGGGAAATTA